ATATATATATATATATATATATATATGAAGAGTGTATTTTCAAAATGCGGTATATCTATTTTTGTGGTATTGAGATAATTGACTTTTTTCGCCACACCAACATGTCTCGTATATTTGGAAAAATTATTGTTTCTTAATGTATATATACATAAAGTATATTATATAATGTTAATAAAATATTATTAAATAAAAAAATTTATTTTTTTTTGTCAATAAGTTTGCATTTATTTTCAAAATACTGTATATCCAATTAAAGCTTGTTAGCAAAATGCGGTATATCCATTTTATAAAGATGTTATGGAAAGTTTTTAAACTTTAAAAGACCTGAATAAGTTTTAATGATTAATTTTAGTTAACATATTGAACAAATATGTGTATTTAATGTTTGGTCGTTATATTTTATTGATATCAATAAAATATAACGAATGTAAACAATGTTTTATTAAAGTAATGTAAACTATTACATTTTACAATTCGCAATTGTAAATTTATATTTGTTTCGGAGAGTTAAATATGGACAATAAACAATAATATTTTTTAGTGTTGTGTAGTTGTAACAATGATGATCACTATTTTTAAGTCTCCATAGAACTAATGGACAATTAATATAACATAAAAGTCATCGTTATATTTTTGAACGAAATAAAATTTTAAAAATGAAATACTGCAATAGCCTCATTTTATTTGCAACAAAGCAATTGTCGGTTTAACAAAAAATAAAAAGGAAGTATTATTATTGAATGCTTTCCATTAAAAAACAGGTAACAAACATATTTAAACTTATTAATTTAAGTTGCCTTTTTAATATATTTCTATCATTATTCCATAATTCGTTCAGTTAAACAAACAAAGCATGGTAGTTTAAGCGAACACTAGAATTAAGAAATGCTTTTCTTTTCTTTTGTTTCATACATCATATCTTTTTTTCTATGTGAAATAGGATATTAGGTAACGCATTAATCTTGTCCATCGCAATCCGCCATTTCTTTAACGCAACTCTAAAATATTTGCGCTTGCGCAGAAGTAATATACATTTGCCACGGATTGGTTAAAAGTAAATACCGCATTTTGAAAAAAAATAAAAAATTTTATACGGCGTTTTGAAAATAAATGTTTTTTAGAAGTAAAAAAATATTGGGTTATACTTCGTTTAGCATATATTCGGACACAATGTCTGCTAGGTCCTTATAAACTAAAAATAAACCACACAATTTCTAAAAAATTTTTAAAATGGCGTTTACCCCCGTTTTGAAAATAAACTCTTCATAAATATATATATATATATATATATATATATATATATATATATATATATATATGTATATATATATATATATATATATATATATATATATATATATATATATATATATATTGTATCATTAATAAACGTTAATGTTTTATATGTAAGCCATTGATGTAAGGTGGTATCATGAAATTCTGCAGCATTATTGGATACCAAAACTTCTGGAACTCCATTTTTCGAAAAAAAACTTTGTAGTACTGCCTTCACTATGGCAGCTTCATGGTTATTTATCTTAATAACTTCAGGCCATTAAAAATTGAATCTACTAGAATTAAAAACAGTCTGACACCCTTTACATAGTCATAATCCATATGCACTCTGCACCAAGGTTTATTTTCATTTGGTCATGTATATAACTCGTCATTTTCTTCACTTCCTCGTCATCTCTGCACATTGTTCACGGTTTTTTTTAACATATTCTTCAACATCTTGACAGTTGCCAGGCCACTAAGCTTCCAACTTTATTCTACATTGAGTTTGTGCCACAATGTGATATACATTGTGGCACAATAGACTGATTCGATGAACTTCCTTCTCATTGTTTTAGGAAGTACAGTTAGATTACCATTACATACACTTCCCTTTTCAATAGTCAATTTATTCCTAATAGATTAATAAGGTCTTTCTGCCAGAGAGCACCTGCTCCATTTATTTTTGCTAATTCTGGTTTTGATATCCATCAATACTCTATCATTTTCTCTTTCTTTTATTATCTGCTCAAGATTCATGATATCTGACTGGACTAAGTGTATAAAGATTTCTTGGTCTTTTTCTTCATCTTGTGGTAGAAAAGACAATCTTGATAATGTATCAGCATGAAGAATGTTTTCTCCCTTCTTATAATTTGTTTCGTATTCAAATGCCATCATTTGCAGGGCCCATCTTAAAGTTCTAGGAGATGTCACTTTAGGCAGTTTTTTATTACAATCAAATATAAAATCTAATGGTCTGTGATCTGATATCAATTTAAATTTCTTACCTAACACAAAACGCTTAGCTCTGTGAGTTGACCATACAATAACTAACGCTTCTCTCTTATTAGAATATCTTGTCTCAGCGTCTGATAAAGTTCATGAGAGATACAATAAAGGATGACCATTTTGTGAAAGTATTCCAGATATAGCTTTTTCACTGGCATCAGTTGATTCTTGGTTGATGTCATAAACTTTTACTACAGGTTCTTCGCAAAAGTTC